TATTCGTTTTCGGCTCTTGGTTTACCCGCCTGGTGTTTCGATTGTGACATTCAATCTCAAGTACGGAAACAATATTCTTTGAAGCGAACCTACGTCATTTCTATCACTTGACCTCATCAAATTGGAGAGTTTCAAAGCTGCTTTTTCCCAAAGCTGCACCCCAAGACAGACGAGTTTCATCCTCATTTGTACTCGTCAGATAGAGATAAATGACTGAGATAGGTGCGCAAGGTAGCAGTTGAAGGCTCTTTTCTTGTTCACTAAGCCAGTCATCAGAGCAATGATTGACCATGCGGTTACAAGTTCGTGAATAGCTCTTGGAATTTCTGCCGTGTATCAGGATTGTGACACGTAAGCGTTAGCGAGTAGCCTTCAGTGCTAGCTTGGATAACGATCGGAAAATACAACTAGTGTTGAAGTGATAATTTTATTGATACAACCAATGTTTCTCTGCATTCTACCTTTAACGAAATCGACACCAATGGGGCTGTAGCTAGGGAGACGCTGAAATCACTGCACTACGAGTAGCCTTTAGCGGGAGCCAAGATAGGGCTTCGAAATACAGGCCGGTTTGCAGGGAAACGTTTACTGGCACAACAAAATGTTCGCGTTTCCAAGCAATAAGAAATCGACACCATTAACTCTCTAGATGGAGGACACTAGAAGCACAGAAAACAAGACAGTCGCGCGTTGAAACCGGATCTAGCGCCAAGCGAAATTGCGATGCTCAAATCCAACTATCTAATTCAGCAACCAGATCAGCATTCCGCTCCGGTCGCCTAAGTGTATGATGAACTAGTGAGTTTGTTTAAAATATTACGCGGACAAACCGGGGAATCTCCAGACTTTCACTTTGTTTACGCTTTCAGATGGGAATGTGCAAGCAGTACTTCGATCTGCGTCAGGAATATCCGTCGAGGGCCAGCCAGGTTTTGAAAACTGATGCAGCTGCTGAGGGAGAACTATGCAGTGCAAACCTAGCGGGCTCTCACCCGTGTCCATCCTGCGTTATCGAAACGGAAAAAATATGTTGGTGGTGGGATAGTTCAAAATCTTCACGTAACTGGTTGAGCAGGAGTTATTTAGAGCTTCCAGTAGGGGTAAGGGATACAGTGAAATGTGAAACCAAGGAGCACCCAACCGACGGGGTATATATGGAAAGCAAAATGAAAAGGAGCAGCGTACATGCATAGCAATACACAAAAGCTTGCGAAGCTGTTTTTGGGTTTTCAAAGTGTTTTGCAACATTTTGGTAGTTACAAACTTTTTGGTCTTTATTGTAATTTTTGGAAAATGTTTAGTAAGATCAAGAAAATGGGAAAGGCATGTTCTACGTAAAATAGCAAACGCTAACACAATCCACAAAACCAACTGGCGGTTTGCGCTTCCGATCGCGTCTATTGATAGTAGGGCGAGTAGGACTGCTGTCGGTTGTGGTTGTAGCTTCCGCTGGAGCGGGGTGACTGATCTAGGTCGCGGCACTGGCCAGGATGGCGCAGGCTGTGCAAGTGCTTGTTGCACCGAAGAGACAGAGTCGACAAAGAAATTAGGTTAGATTCGGTTGATGTTGGTCGTCTCAGTCTTACCATTGTTGTCAAAGGCAAACGTCTTGTCGCTACTGCGTACGACACGGTACGGGCCAGAATAAGGTTGGAGCGGCCGGCGCATGCTGTCGGTGCGAAGTAATAAGTGCGTGCAAGTGGTTAAGCGTTTATCCACGTTTATCCGCAAGCTCCGTGCTCTGAGATGCATAGGCTGAATTTGTCGCAAGTGATGAGATAAGCGGGCTGCGTAATAAGTTCACCAGGTAAGCGTTGTGTGTAGCCAAATACCACCGAAGATGGAGCGACACCCAAATCCGCCTTAATCGTGTTCCGTATTCCTAAGAGAACGAGCTGATGTGCTCGGTGCTAGGACGTGCTTGACTGGAAACAGTATGATGCCTTGAGTTGCTGATGGAACTTTTCTACCATCCCATTAACTACTAGGTGGTGTGCGGTAACTCGGTTTTATTGGCAACCAACTGCGTTGCGACTTTTACCGAAGGGTCCGTCAAAATGTGATCCTCTATCTGCGCTGACTACGCTGGGGCAACCAATCTGAGCTACATGGCTTGCTAGAAAAGCTTACGGAACTGTCCTAGATGAAAAGTTGCGTATCGGAATCGCTTCTGGTCAACGGTTGAATCGGTCGACAAAGAGGAGTGAGTAAACGTAGCCTTTGCATAAAGGCAAACGTACAACGAAGTCGACATGGACGTGTGCGTAATGAGAGTCAGGAGGTGGAGAGGCGCCGAGTGGGCTTTTAGTGTGCCTGTACACGATGGCAAGCTAACACTGTAAGCTAGCGCGAGTCCAAGTGCAGACATCGCGGATGAGGTTGGGCTAGACGAAGCGTTAAGTTACGAGCTTCTGCGAAGCACGTATGTCAGATTGCAATGGGTTGTGTAAAATATTGGAAACCTTTCAGCGCTTCAGGATAGTGGTAACTAGATACTGACAGCTGATCTACCCAAGGCTGCTACTGTTGTGCCATCTGCTTATTTCCTGGACGCCTCCTAGTGACAACGGCTGAGTGAGAGTTTGGTTACGCTCTTATCCCTGCTGTGCTCAAGGACACCAATATGCATGAGTCGGTTAACTACCCATTTGCTAGACCCACTGCCATTCTAGTGTGCATTTAATCGAAGACTTTGGCTGAGGACATGCTTCCTTCTCCTGTCAGGTCTAGGCGCCCAGCCAGTATCTAATCCATCCACCCCGGAGGTTAGGAAGTGGTCGATTGCCTTCTTCCCGCAAAACCAAGCCTGTGAAGACAAAAGCTCTACGGGTTGTAAGCTCATCGCTCGACTGGGGTAGAATACGAGCGCCACGCATTGTCTCTGATGGTGGGAGGGCACCTCCGGGTGCTCAGTGGTCAGGCAGCACCTGGTCAACTTGGTGCAAACCCGCCAAAAGCCTACTGCGTCTGGCCGTGGTCGCAGATGCGTATCCTACTCCGGTCGCTAAACATATTTGAATCGTTCCAGCACCTCAAACAATGCGTGTGACGGAGCTCAAGCAGATCCCAATCTGTCTCTGCGAACACATTCAAGAGAAGAATCTGTGCCCCACTGTCTTGTGAGTCAGGTTATTGAGCCAAAGGCCCCGGCGGAATTCATAAAGCAATTTTCGGAAGCACAACCGCCATTTCGCATGCAATTGCCCACCATCGCAATCGTATGCCTGGACGCAAAGCACTCAGCATCGGGTGCTGGAACGTGCGCACTCTACTGGACCGGAACTCGAATGAGCGCCCTGAGCGATGCACTGCACCAGTCGCGATGGAATTGGCACGGTACATAATCGATATTGCGGCCCTCAGTGTGACCTGACTCGCTGAGCAAGGTAAGTGGTATGAAGCAAGTGCTGCCTAGACGTTCTACTGCATGGGCAGCGCCACCTCAGCACCACGTGATCATGTGCTCGGATTTGCATTGTCCGATCGCCTAAATGGCCACCTGGTGTGTGAACCAACAGGCATGATTGCGCGACTGATGACTGTTTGCCTAGGACTCGGAAGGGGTAAGTCTACCCCTTCAATAAGTCCGTACGACCCGACCATGTGTTATCTCGATGACAAGCGTGATTAATTCTACACTGAGCTATTCTCCGTGATACGGTCTGTGCCGAGGAACAACTGGATGATTTCAACGCGCACGTTTGGCAGGATGCATCGGTGTGGACGTTTGTCAGCGGTCCGCAGGGCATTAGTTCAGCAAACACAAACGGAGACAGGCTGCTCTCACTGACGAACACGAACCCTTATTTTGCAGGGAGTGCGAGTGATATAGCAACTTGGACGCACCGACGGTGGTCACGCCTACCTGTTCGAATATGTTATTGTACGTCGGCGTGATATGCGTGAAGTGCGCATGACACGTGTACTGCATGGAGCTGAGTTTGGCACTGATCATATATTGGTGCGGATCAAAATGCATATATATTTCCGTAAATCTATGTATTGCAATACTGACGTAACTTTGGGTAAATTTAATATTCGCCTCCTCCTTATTGTGCAGAAACTTATTGAGCTGGAGAAGGCGATGGCTGCACGACTGTATGCTGTGGAATGCATAGCCACATTAGGCGAGCTGTGGCAGCACATTCGCGACCAGGTGACAGCTGCTGCCGAGGAGACCATCTGGCGCGCAAACTGTAAGCGGCCTGATTGGTTTGATGAGAACTATGCGACGATTGGCGCACTGGTTTCGGAGATGAATGCAGTATTTGATGCATATGTGGTAGACAAGTGACTTATAAATAAATAAATAAATTTTGATTCTCGACAATGCGAAGCACACCTTTACAAGCATGATCATATTTAGCTAACATAGTGTGATCAAATTGTACAAAAGGACATGTTTGGCTACTGTTGCGCCATAGTCTCATGTCCTGGGCGCCTCCACGTGGCGACCGCTGGGTGGGAGTTAGGTTTCGCCCTTCTCCCAGCTAAGATCCAGGACATCAATCCGCATGAGTCAGCTAACTGACCATGTGCTAGACCCGCTGCCTTTCGGTTGTTCATTTGATCGAAGGCTTTGGCTGAGGACCCGAGTCGTTCTCCTGTCAGGTGTGGGCGCCCTGGCAATATCCTAGTCCATCCTCTCCGGAGGTTAGGAAGTGGTCGATGGCCCTCTTCCCGTAAAACCTAGCTATGGGAGACAATAGGTTTACGCGTTTTATTCGCAATACTCGATTGGCGTAGAACACGAGTGCCACGCATTGTCTCTGATGGTGGGAGGACACCTCCGGGTGTTCAATGGTATGCTGGCTATCCGAACTACCTCCTCGTGGTGCCAGCTGGGTGGTTCGGGTGTACCTCGTTCAAGCAAAGTGTTCGGCGACAATGTTCCACCTCGGTGGGACATCGTATTCCAGCAGGTATGCTGTTTATATGGGGAGTATTGGGCCCCTGTTTGGTAATCTACCAAACAAAGACGCATGAACTGAACATTCAGTCAACGCCTCCCAATGGGCGCGATTCCCTAAATTCGCCCCGCTGCCTTGCGGGTAGGTTATTTAGCCAAAGGCTCGGGGTGGAGTCCCCTAAGTCAACTCCCTACTTCGGCTTGGGCAACCGGGTAGTATCACGCCCTCTCGCAAAACCATGGACTGTATTACAACTTGCTCATCAGCTGCTGTTTCTGCTAGTCACTTTCACGCGACTTCATCACACGCCAATTATTTGTTTGTTAACAATCCTCACTTTCCTTTACCCGATTCATGTGCTCAGCAATCTGGCTGCGATTCCGGTTGCGCCGCAGACCAAGAGGTTCAACCCATGGCTCTCCTTCGTCCCCGATCCTCGTTCCGTCTGGCGTGCTTCAACGTTCGGACACTCATGCAGATTGGACAGCAAGCCGGTCTAGCGCGCACTCTAGATTCCCTAGACATTGATGTCTGCTGCCTTTCAGAAACCCGATTGCAAGATCCCAGCACTGTGCTTACACTGACATCCCCCACTGACCACGAAGCCAGATATCACCTACGTCTTTCTGGAGATCCAGAAGCAGCCTCAGCGGGTCTGGCTGGTGTAGGTATAGCACTAAGTGACAAGGCCGAGGCGGCACTACTGGACTGGTTCCCTATTAACAGCCGATTATGTGCAGTTCGGCTTCGGGGTTCGTGTAGAATCAACAGGCACCGTGAAGAGAGACACAACTTGTTTGTGATCTCTGTGTACGCTCCAACTGACTGCAGTGGCGACTCGGTCAAGGACGAATTCTATCGGGATCTACAACAACTCTTGACTAATGCTAAAAAGTCGGATGTCGTTATCCTTGCTGGGGATTTTAATGCACGGGTTGGCCGCCTGTTACCATACGAACGCCACCTTGGTGGTCATCACTCGCTCGATGAGAACCGCTCTGATAACGGAGAGAGACTTCTCACATTGTGCGAAGACAACCGTCTGTTTCTTTCGAGCACTAACTTCAGGCGTACGAAGAAGCGTTCCGCAACGTGGCGTCCCCCTTCTTCAACACAACCGTGGTCTCAAATTGATCACATTGCAATTAGCTTCAGATGGCGCGGCAGCGTACTAGACTGCAGGTCCTTTTGGTCCACATTCGTTGACTCAGATCATGCTCTGGTCTGCGCGAAAATCTGTATGTGTTTTGGAGAATCCCGAAACACGAAGCACCGCAAGATTGATGTAAACAGATTAACTGATTCCTCTGTCCAGACGAGCTATCAGTCTTCATTGGCATATGCACTCAGTTGCAATCCACCGCAAGAAGTGGAACAACACTGGACTTGTATACGGAAGGCAATGACCATTTCCGGACAGTCATGCTGCGGCCTAACTCGACGCCCCTTGAAGGCTTGGATCTCTGCTCGTTCTCTGGAGCTGTTCGAAAGCCGCAAAGATATACCCGCGGAATCAGATTGCAATGAGCGGCGCCTTTCTGCCAACCGGCTGCTCAAGCAAAGCCTACGCAAGGATCGCGAGACATGGTGGTCTGAACGTGCTTTAGAGATGGAGACCGCTGCCCTTTCTGGCAACACTCGCAGGCTTTTCCAACTCATTCGGTCCACTGGCCTCAGGAAACCTGGTGTCAGTGAGGTCATTTGTGAGGTGGATGAGTCTCCGATCACCAACCAACAGAGGCGTATGGACCGTTGGGCCGAGCACTTTCACTCGCAGTTCAACTGGCCTCCACCATCCATCAGTACATGCAATACACGTTGTTGTCCACCCTGGCTCGTCCCTCTGAATCCACCCAGCGAAGCGGAAGTCGGTCTTGAGATTCGACGCTTGAAGCGCTTCAAGGCTGCCAGCTTAGACGGACTTCCTCCGGAGCTATTCAAGTACGGCGGTGTGGCGATCATTAACCAGCTGACCGCGCTGTTCGCAAAAATTTGGCATGAAGAGAAAGTGCCTTCCTCTTGGGGAGAATCATTCATTATCCCGATTTTCAAGAAAGACGCTCGCAATTCATGTGCAAATCATCGCGGGATTAGTCTTATTTCGGTTGCCTCTAAACTATTGGCATCTATTCTGCTTCGCAGGCTATCCCCAGTACGTGAATCATACTACCGTGAAGAACAAGCTGGTTTCCGTCCTGGCCGCGGATGCGTGGATCAAATCTTCACGCTCCGCCAGCTCCTCGAACATCGCCACATTTATCACAGGCCCACTATCATTGCATTTCTAGACATACGTGCCGCTTTTGACTCCGTTGATCGTCCTGCTTTATGGCGTTGCTTACTAAAGAACGGGGTGCCAGAGAAATATACCGCCATCTTACGAGCACTTTACCTTCATACATGCGGCAGAGTGAGGGTCTATGGCAAGCTTTCCTCGCAATTCACTGTCAATACCGGTGTGCGACAGGGCTGCCCTATGTCCCCATTCCTCTTCAACTTCGCAATCGAAGACGTTCTGTCGGATGTTCTAGAAGGTTTTCAACATTTTGGCCTAGAGCTTCTACCGGGTGAGCGCGCGACCGACTTAGATTATGCTGATGATATCGCCTTACTTGGTGACGATCCTCAGAGTATGCAACTCAATCTGGATCGTTTGGCGGTTGAAGCATCTAAGTATGGCATGAGCTTCGCCCCATCGAAGTGTAAAATACTGCTCAAAGATTGGCATTCGCCTGCTCCCGTACTCACTCTCGATGGTGCACAACTTGAACAGGTAGATAGTTTCGTCTACCTTGGGAGCTGTATTTCTGCTGACGGCACTATCAACAAAGAAGTTTCTCTTCGTATCGCTAAAGCTCGATCGGCATTTGTCAATTTGAGGCACTTGTGGCGTCGTCGCGACGTCTCATTCTCACTAAAGGGCCGAGTTTACAGTGCATCAGTTTGCTCAATATTGTTGTATGGGTGCGAGTCCTGGGCGCTTCGCGTGGAAGACATACGTCGTCTTTCTGCGTTCGATAACGGTTGCTTAAGGAGGATCGCGCGTGTTTGGTGGCAACATCGAGTTAATAGTAATGACGTTCGACGTCGCATCTTGGGGAATGCGAGTATTCCCTTCAACAAACTGGTTTTGTTGCGCCAGTTAAGATGGCTCGGTCATGTCCTACGCATGGCACCTGAGCGTCTACCGCGTCGCGCTCTATTCGCTCGTCAAGGACCTGGCTGGAGGCGACCCTGTGGTTGTCAGCCTTCCACTTGTCGGCAGCACATGAAATCGCTGACGTCGTGTCTAGCCGCTGTAGGATCCGTACGTCTTCCAGGATGGGGACCCAAAGTTGAGGAGTGCCAATGGCTTAGCACTCTTGAAGATATGGCCCGCAACCGGAATCAGTGGAAGAATTGTGTACATTATTGTATTGATTCACATGTTTAATTCTACAAACATTAAAATGACAAAAAAAGAACGAAAGCGGCGTGTGAAAAACAAACTAAAAATGTTTTGTTCTGCTTTTTATCAAAATGTTCCATTCTTCCTGCGGCATATTAGTTGAAGTGTGTTGCTCACCTTCAACTAGCATGCCACGATGATTATGACGCCATGAATCTTGCTTATCTCCTTATCTCCATGGTTTTAGGCTGGCTCTTTGTCTAGCTAATAGACTGTTGAGTATACATGGTTGGCGGCATCCGGTTTCGGATTTGACTGTCACTGTGGCAAGCCACAGGACGCCTGCGCCTACAGAGGGACCATGGATGGCTTGCGCTGCACCACCCACAGCTCCAACCACACACCCCATATCCAGTGTAAACCCGAAGGAATAAGACCGGAAGGCATGTGGATAGGAGTCACGTTTCATCAACAGAGCCGGGTCACACTCCTTCACAGGCAAACACAAGCACGCTGTATTTGGGGAATCAAGCGCACACAAGGCGGTGGCTGGACCGTAGTCCGCTCCACACTGAGTGCATGGAACCACTCTTTGATCCTAACACGGCCACAAGGACCGTGCATCCCGTCCCCTCCAGCAACGACCAACTGTCTCCTGGAGCCAGTATGGACGAGGTAGTGGGTAATAGACAGGTAGGCACCTTGTCAACATGCACATCAAGCGCAGCCGCACCGGGGATATCATACAGCAGCCAATCACTTGGGAGAGAGA